GCAGAGTCCCACAGCCATAGGAGGGGACAGCACCCAACATTGCAGGCAAGAAAATGCCTAAGAAAACAAACTGGACTTGGCAACTCGTGACTTTGAGTGCGTGGCTCCCATAGAGCTGCAGAGGCAGATGCCTGCTTCGGCCACATGGGAAATCAATGCAGGTGGGGGAGTGAGGGCTTGGGACAAGGTCTGCCAGGGTAGGCAAGGCAAGGGGTAGAAACTTCCACGGGAAGGGGGCTGGAACTCATCAGGGAGGGTGGCGGGCACATATATTTATTTATAGACTGAAGAGAAGGAGCCAGTAGAAAGGAAGAGCTTAAAGAAATGGGCAGGTTCAGAAGAGCCAAAAGGTGGGAGCAGCCCAAGTGTCCATCAATGGATGAATGGATCAACAAAACGTGGCATATACCTACAATTGAATAAGATTTCATCTTAAAAAGGATGGAAACTCTTGACACAGGCTATGATAGGAACCTTGAGGGCATGATGCAAAGTGATATAAGCCAGGCACAAAGAAGAAATACTGTATGATTCCACATATATGAAGTACCTGGAACAGTCCAATTCATAGACACAGAAAGTAGAATGGCAGTTGTTGAGGGTAGGGGTAGAGGGGTCACGGGGCGGGTGGTGGTGGTGGTGGTGGTTGTTGTTTTATGGGTACAGAGTTCCAGGTGTGTAAGATGAAGAGTGTTCTGGAGGTGGATGGAGGTGATGACCGTACAATACAAACATACTTAACACCACTGAATGGTGAATTTACAAATTCGTAATATGGTGAATTTTATATGTGTATTTCATCACACTTGGAAAGGGAAAGGGCATTAGTGGGAAATGCTTGAGACTGAAATAAATCTGTGGTTTAGTTAACAGTACTATACCAAAGTTTAAAAAAGTATATTCACTAATATAATAGCAGAGCAATCTTCTACTTTGAGCTATTAACTATATGATGTTGTCATTTGCCCCCTTTTGTGGGCATCAGTGTAACAATTCAAACAAAATGACTAACTCTATCAACCATATGTCTAAGCATGTATAAAGCTATTTTAATCAACTACATACAAATTATTCCCCAGTGTATTAATAAATACCTTAACCTCCCGAAGGTTCATGCATTCCTCCCAGGAATAAAACTTTCTTTTCATTCTAAAAGAGAACAAAGAAACAAATAGCATGCTTATTCCAAGTAACAGGCTAAACTTTCTTGTTTAAAATATTTCCATTCTGGAAAGGTGGAGGGTGGAACAATTCAAAACTTAACTAAAAAATTCAAAAAAACAAAGAAACCAAAAAAAAAAAAAAAAAAAAAAAACCAAAACCAAAAACAAATGTTTTTGCCCTGAAACTCTTGAATAGTGCTTAAAGTTGGTTTCAATTTCTACCAAACATTATACTACCCAAAACAACATTCATTTTAAAATTTGGCAGTGTGATCAAGTCTACATCGCAAAATTTTCCAGCAGAGGTGGTGCAGTACAGTGCAAGGAAACCTCCCCTGCTGTCTTGCTCTATCACTAACTGGCTAACCTTGCCTTGGAGGCAAATCCCTCAGGCTTTTTTTGATCTAGACTAGAGTTCTCCAACAGAACTTTCTGTATTGATGGTAATGCTCTGTGGTATCTAGTATGGTAGCCACTACACTACACATATATGGATATTGAGTATTTGGACTATGGCTAGCATAACATAGGAACTTAATTTTTTAATAAAATTTAAATTTAAATGTCATATGGTTATGTATTATCCTATTGGACAACACAGTTCTAGATCCTCCTGTATAGAGGTTGGCAAATTATGACCCACAGGCCAACCCTATCTCACTATCTTTCTGTGTAGCCCATGAGCTAAGAATGACATTTATATTATTAAATACCTGGGGAAAACAAAGAAGAGTAGGATCTTATGATGATGATAATTTTATGAAATTCAAGTTTCAGTTTCCATAAAGAGTTTTATTGGAATACAACCACACTCATTCATTTCTACATGGCCTATGGCTGCTTTTACACAACAGCAGAACTGAGTTATGACAGAGACCATATGGCCTACAAAGCTTGAAATATCTACTATGTGGCCAACCCTGGCCTACAGCCTGAGGGGAGAGAAAGAGAACTCGATGGGTGAACCAGAAATCCAAGTTTCTAGTTATATTGTTCATTGCACTGCAATCACATGGTCTCACCGGACTCTTCTATTAGCCCCAGGAAATAGATGGGACAAGGGAGGAAATGATGAAACTGAGAAATCAAAAGATTTTCCCCAAGGTCTCACTGCTGGCTAATAAGAGGCCAATATCCATTTCTCCACCTCACTCTCACACTCTGTCCCCAGTGTCACGTATCTGCAGGTAGAGTGACCAATTCCTTTGTGCATACCCAAATATTGTTTAGCCCTTCCTGTATGGCAGGGCCTTTGTCAGGCACTAGAGATACAACAATGAGAAGGGCATCCCTCGTGGAACTGACATCGCAGCAGGAAGGCAGGCAATTCATCATCACTTTCTGTGTTGAGTGCTGGGAAGGAATGGCATAGGGCATGGTGACAGCAGACACCAAAGTGACCTAATTTAGTCTGAGGTATCAGGGAGCACTCCTAGAATGAGGTGATGTTTCTATTAAGACCTGAAGGTTCCGCAGAATTTAGCCCATCAAGGCAGGTGGCAGGGAATATCATGTGAAGACTAGGGGCAGAAAGGTATCTGGTGAGTTCAAGAAGCCAAAAGGCCAAAGTGGTGGAAATGACATTGGTAGGGTGGTAGTGAGACATCAGACTGAAGAAAAGAGGGAACGGCCAAGTGATGTAGCAAGTTGAAGATCACGTTAAAAACTGGGGGCTTGGGCAGCCCTGGTGGCCCAGTAGTTTAGCACCGCCTTCAGCCCGGGGTGTGATCCTGGAGACCGGGGATCGAGTCCCATGTCGGGCTCCCTGCATGGGGCCTGCTTCTCCCTCTGCTTGTGTCTCTGCCTCTCCCTCTCTCTCTGTGTCTGTCATGAATAAATAAATAAAATCTTAGAAAAAAAACAACTGGGGGCTTGATCCTAAAATCGATAAGATATTGCAAGCTGTTATAGTTTGGGTTCCCCTGAAAGCAGAGCCTGAGGCAAGGACTTGGGTATGGGTAGTTTATTTGGGAGGTGATTCCAGGAAGCCAGGGCAAGGAGCAAGGAAACTAGGAACAGAGAGATGGGAAATCCATTAAAGGGCATGTTATTGATATGACACCAAGGTGTACAAGTGGGGCTCAGTCCTGGTCTGGGCTGTCTACAGACCTATGCGGAAGGTCCCCTGGTTGAGAGTCTCCCATGTGCATTTGCAAGGATGGGGGGGGTGCTAGTGGTGGGTACAGAACTGTAACTCACAGCACACTGAGGTCAAGTAGGACAGGCGATGAAGTGGGGCAGCAGGGACACAGTGTTTGGTGTAAAGGATTTTAGACAATCAGATTCATGTGTTTAAAGTGATCCCTTCAGATTAGAATGGAGAGGGGTGGAATGGAAGCCAAGGATCCTACAGAGGAAATTATTCTAGTGGTAAAGGTGGTAACAGATAACGGGCTGAATGGTAGGTTAGCAGGGAGAATACAGAGAAGTAGGTGGATCAGATAAATACATAGAAGTTGGAATCTACAGGTCTAGGTGGCCAATGCTGGGCATACAGAGGGAGGTCAGAAGGATGTGCAGGTTTTGAAGAGATGGTAGTGTCATTTATCAAGATAGGGAACGTGAGAGGAAAAATAGGCTTGGGGTAAGAGAGAGGGAATGGTGAATATAAGCTCAGTTTGGGATATAATAAATCTGAAGTGTCTGCAGGGCATCCAAATGGAGATGTTGAGAAAGTGACTGGATATAGGTGGTGTGTCAGGCAGGCCCTGAAATGGTCCCTGAAGATTCCCACCTCCTTGTATTCAGAGCCTGGTATAAGGCCTCTCCTTTAATGACTTGCTTCTAACCACTGGAACACAGCAATCTGAGAGGATATCCCTTCTGTATTAGTTTACAAAAGCAAAATGATGTGACTTCCACCTTGACAGAAGCCTCTCTCATTGCCTTCACGACCCCCCATCTTGAAGCAAGGTGCCATGTTGAGAGCTATTCTTTGGAGAGGCCCACATGACAAAGGACGGAGGACAATGTCTAGCTAACAGCCAGCAGGGAACTGAGGCCCTCAGTGTAACCACCCAGGAAGTACTGAATGCTACCCACAATCATGTGAATGAGCCTGGAGGTGGATCCTTTCCTAGCCCAGTCTCCAGATAAGACCTCAGCACTAGCCAACACCTTGATTATAGCCTCATGAGAGACCCTAATGTAAAGAACTCACCCAAACCCTGCCCAGACTCCTGACTCACAGAAACCATGAGGTAATAAATGGGTGTAGTTTAAAACCATGAACTCCTGGGGTAAATTATTAGGTAGCAAGAGGTAACTAATACACTCGGGTTGGACTCAGATTGTAAAGGGGAAGTAGAGTGGGGAGGTGAAGATAGTAGTCCCTAGACCACCACCTGTGTGAATGATCCAAATCAAGTCACTTAACTTCTCAGAGTGTCAGTTTCCTTTCCAATAAAATGTTTCTAAACCTTTTCATTACTACGTCACATTACGATATGACAGTTTGGAAGAGGACTAGTGTCATATGCAAATCTAAAGTAGGAATGTGTTTAAGACCTCTGACACGAACATTCCGGAGCCAACAATCATCTAGCCCACAGAAATCAATGTCTAAGACTTTCCTGTATGCCTCCTACCCACCCCCCGCCCCCACCTTTAGAAATTTTCAATAACGAGAAATGCAGAGGGTAGAGTGAAAACGATGTTGACATTGTGTCGTTGATGATGAATTGATGTGAGTGAAGAATAAAACTTACTTTTTAATGGCAATCAGTTCCCCAGACTCAATGCTTCGTCCCAGTAGGACGGAACCATAGGTTCCATCCCCAAGTTGCTTGATTGTTGTGTATCTATTCATGGTGTGCCCGCTCAGGCTGGACACTCATCTCAGGGCCGAGGCGGTGCAGTCCTGCAGAAGCAGCAGGCCTCCCCAGAGTGTAACCAGATTTTTCGATGGCAGCACCAGCACAAGGTATTCAATAGAACGTGACTATCTCCCAAATACATATTTTCAAAGATCAGTCTTCTGCCTGTAGAGAAAAATGAGAGACAAGAGTAACTGCTAATGTACATTTTGTGTATTTTTATTGTCTAAATCAAGGGTCAGCAAACAATAACCCTCCCAGGCCACCACCTGTTGTTGTGAATAAAGTTTTATTGGAACACAGTTATGGTCATTCATTTGCATAGTGTCTATAGCTGTTTTCATACTACAGGAGCAGAGTTTAGCAGTAGTTGTGACAAAGACTATATGGCTTACCTGGGTGGCTCAGTGGCTGAGTGTCTGCCTTTGGCTCAGGTTGTGAGACTATCCCTGGGGTCTTGGGATAGAGTCTCGCATTGGGCTCTCTGTGGGGAGCCTGCTTCTCCCTCAGCCTGTGTCTTTGCCTCTCTCTCTGTGTCTCTCATGAATGAATAAATAAAATCTTTAACAAACAAACAAACCTAAAAAATTTATCATCTGGACCTTTATGGAAAAAGTTTCCCAATCTCTGGCCTAAATAATGCTCTTTTTAATTTTCTTAAGATGAAAGATACCATTCTTGGAAAGTGAACTTGTCACTGACTCAGAAATGAATCAGTTGCAATTCAATGCTTTTCTGCTGACCAGCCACTGTGGGCAAACACTGCATGAAAACTATGGTTGACAAAAATTGCAGAGCTACAAAAATCTGTACTAAATATACTGTGTTCTGTGTATTTCTGCTACAATTTACAATGTAACAAAGCCAAGAAATGTTAAAATTAAAGTTCTCCTGATACAGAATTTACACGTGATCCATGAACTATTTGTGGCTAGGCATCAACAGTATTATTTTTACTACTTGACATACAGAAGCTAAACAAAGAACAACTAATTTCTTAAGGTCTGTATATAGGGTGTGCCCTTTTTAAAGTCATTTAGCTGTCTTTTCTTTAATAACAAATCATTGGCTTTTGCAATTTATAGAACTGAGTCATTCAGTCTGTCTATAATAAAGAAAATATAGCAATAACTTAAGTGATTGCAATGCTTAATATAAATATAAATATTTATATTTATATATAAAATATAAATGCTAAAATAAAAGTAAAGTTTTTTTTGTTTTTGTTTTAACGTAAGCTCTATGTCAACTGTGGAGCTTGAACTCATGACCCCGACATCAAGAACTGTTGCATACAATATCAACTGAGCCAGCCAGGCACCCTGAGCAAACAACAGCTGATAAAATAATTATCTGAAAAATCAAAAGATCAGAAAACACTGATTAGAAGTATGTGATGTTCTGCATCTAAATCCAGTTTACGCACCTTGTCCTTCCAGAAGAATTCCAAACAATAAATGAAGAAGGAAAGAAGGAAATAAAGAATTCACTATTAGGCAAATACCACAATAAGATTTGTTGCAGACAAGAGTCACTGATGAATGCAAATATTAGTGGATGAATGGTTGAGGAGAAACAAAGTATTTACATAGTTTATTGTTCATTTTTTTCAAAGATCTTATTAGAGTCTCAGGACGGGGATGATGGTGGTGGAGAAACAAGGTATTTACATAGTTTATTGTCCATTTTTTTCAAAGATCTTAGAGTCTCAGGATGGGGATGATGGTGGTGGTGGTGGATCCCCAGATATGTTCTAGGGGATGACGGTGGATTGGCCAGATATGTACTAGCGAATATGCACTAAGATATTTCAAGTCAGCTTAGGTTTCATGGACAGGATGTGGGAGAGGTTCAAGGGAAAGTCCCCTAGCTTCCAGCAGGGTCCATTCCATCTGGGTAAGGGAGGGCATAAGTAAAGTCTTCACAAAAGACGGAGCTTGAGAAAACAAGAAAAGCTATTTTGTAAGGTTAAGGCATTCTAGCTGTCCAAGCAGCAGAAACAAAGGCATCAATTCAGGAGGGAGGGGTAAGGTGGGAGCTTGGAACAGAAGAGAGAGAACCCCAGAGTTTTGTTTGTGGAGGGCCTCAGATGCCACTTCGAAAAACATAGGCTTCAACTTGATCCTGTACCAAAGGAGACAAAGTGCTGCAAAGGACATCATTGGGCTAATGGAAAGGACTGAAAGACAGGTGGTAGATTAGGTAAAAGTATTGCATCTGTATTAAATTTACTGAAGTTGATATCTGTCCTGTGGTTCTGTAAGAGCAGTCTTATTTTTAGAAAATACACCCTGAAGGATGTATAAGTCAAGGACCATGATGTATGCAATTTGTTCTCCAGGGGGTACAGTTAAAATATTGTGTGCATGGGAGGGAATGATGTGAGGGTAGAGAGAGGGAACAAATGGGGTTAAATGTTAACAATAGGTAAATTTGGGTAAAGGTATATGGGTATTCTTTGGACTGTTCTTCCAAGTTTTCTATATGTTTCTAACATAAATTATTCTATATTAGAAGTTTAAAAAGTTATCAAAATGGTAAAGGAAGAGAATCTTTAAAAAGATATATATCTTAAACATTTTATTTCAGCTTAAGACATAAAAGTGTAGATTTATTCGATAAAACCTAACATTAGAACATACATCATGGCTGTGTCTCAACACAACACAGAAAGAGTACTTGAACCACAACATAAGCAATTTTTAACTCTGGGTTTATTTTCCTCTTTTTCTTCTTTTTCATATCTATCTCTACCTATTTTTGATATGACCTAAATGATTTCTACATCATTCATGATTTCATTTTCTAACAAATTAAAATTCCCAAACCATTGTTGTATGTCATCTTCCTAAAAATCACTGGTACCTTCCCTGATTTGTCAAATAGCAGCTAATAAATGACATGCTTTATTTAAAAAAAAAAAAAACAACAAAAAGGAGGCTTTCACCTAGAGGCAGTGGGAAGTTAATTTTTTTTTAACTTGAGAATAACACGATTAGATTTGCATTTTGTAATCTAGTTAATTAGAATATTTTTCTTAATGTCCAACTAAAACTTGCCTGTTTTAATTTAAGCTAATTTCTTCATGCTTCGTTTTTTGGTAGATATAAAGAAAGTACCCCACAAAATTGTGTGTATACATGAAATTAGTAATCAAATGTGTGTCTCTCAGCCTTCTCCCGCATTAATTATGCAGCCTTTCCTCATAAGACCTTTTTCCACTCCTTTAATTATCTTTGGCTTTCATCTCTGAATCCTCACACATTTCTCCATTCCCTTGATGAGCTGTGGTGACCAACCTTAATAATGATGTGCATTCCAGTAGCATGTGAGCTCTCCCTTACCTTTTTTTTTTTTTTGCAATGGCATTATATTACTGATTCATATCTATAAATTATCAATCACAGAAACCTTTCTTTGGTAGTTTTGTCTCACTACTTCCTCATCCAATTAAATTGTATAATTGGGACAATGTTTCTAGATTCTCATTGAGAAAGCCATTTGTGAAAGAATTAAGAACTTTAGTGAAGTCAAGATAGAATGAGTCATTCATTTAACATATAGTCATCCTAATAGCTTATTGCAGTTTGTCAAATTATCATAGAATGAAGTTTGATTACTCTAGAAACATTTGACTCTCACCATGCCATGATAGCAGCTTTTTAATCTTATGTTATTTCAGGTAATTACATAATGATTGTACAATAGATCAAATTGGTGTCTCTTCAGGCACTGGTGTCAGGTTGACAGTGCAGAATTTTATTGCACCTTTACTAAGATGCTAAGCATTATGCAAGGCTTTTGCGGCACACAATGAATAAGATAAGTGTCCTATAAATAACTCACAACTGATGTGATCATGAAAAATGTAGGAAGTACTATGAGACTATAGTAGAAAGAGCAACCAACTCTTCAGTGGAGGGAGGGATCTGAGAGAAGAGAAGAGAGGAGGTAGTACTAAAGTAGTAAATGAACAGGGTTTTATTAAGCAGAAAAGGAAGAGAAAGGAATTATAGATGGAGGAAACTGCGCAAAAAGGTTGGTGGTACAGACCTTGGTGTGTTCATGAGAGGGCAAAAGTCCAGTGGTTGCATCCATGGCTGAACCCTAGAATAGCCTTTTAACAAATCCTATTGCCCAGACCCCACCTCTAAGGGTCAGGTGAGGGGTGGGGAATGAGTTTCAGTAGTTAAGAAAGCTCTGCAGGTGATTCTAATGTGTAACCAGACTGCGAAGTATGGGCCTAGGGCATAAAGACTATGGAGAGAAGTAAGGAAATGGCGGGAAATGCCTAGAAACTCAGGGTGGGGGTGGGCCCATATGTGAAGAAATATATTCATCATGCAGGAGTTTTTGTCCTTACCCTGGAGAGGGGAGTTCTCCAGTATTTTGAAGCAGGGTAACAACATGAGGAAGATACCTTTGGAGACCACATAGATGTTAGGATGGAGAGACTACAGGCAGAGAAACTAGTTTGGAGGGTTTGCTGTAGTCCATATGATACATGTTGAAGGCCCGTACAAGAGACCTAGCCTACATGACTCTCAGATACAGGAGACACATGTTTGGAATAGGGAATGTATGCATATATGTTACTTGGACAAGGTGTAGAGATGATGGGTTCTGCTTCCTGAGGTGTAGGATTTGAGGAATGTACAAAACCTCTCATTGCAGATGCTCAGTAGACAGCTACAAGTAGTTTTAGGGTTGTTTAATTTTCTCCAAAGATAATACATTATTGGAGCTCTTATGAAGAGCTCAGCATTCAGACAAGGTTGATCTGCACGACTCTGATCATTTCAACTTTGGACGACAAACTTCAAGAGAGACATTAAAGAACATAATAAAGGGCCTAAATAAAAGCACCAGAAGAGTAGCTGAAAGAATATTTGAAGTAAAAGAGACTTGGGGAACCATGCTCATTGTTTCAAGTGTATAAGGGAAAAGGATTAGTTACACTGTTTCTGGATCCAGAGAACAGGACCATGACCACTGTCTGAGCTTTCTGGTCTCTGGTCAATTATTTCCCATATCAAAAAAATTGCAGTGGCATTATTCAAATTAGCATTACACAAGAAGCATCAGTCCACCCACAGTCAATCCTGGGCATATCCCAGCAGGAAGCAGTTAAATACATTTGAGATCGGTATTTTCAGTTGTTCACC